TATTTTCGGTTTGAATTTTTTATATAATCTATTTGTTTTGATATTTCAGATACGGAAAAGCCTCTTAAAATTCGCCAGTGTTACTATTGCGACTATTGTGCTTTCAGAAAAGGAGATTGAATGAGGCATTTTCTAACACGAACTCAAGAAAAAGCGTTTTGCTCTGCTATTTGTTTAAAAAAATGACAAATTTCCCACGAAAATCTAGCCACTTGTTATTACATTTGCACATTTTTCTCATTTTCTTTTGATTTTCTGTCTTGATATTAAATTGTTTCAGTTCTTGAAACAAAAAAAGACACTGCGGATTTATTTCAAATACTATCTGCAAAAGATGAGCCGACCTCAAACACCCTGCCTAGGCTTTTTTCAAATGGACTTGAAAAGTACTGTTGATTTCAACCAGGGTTGGTATTTTTTTCAGAAGCCAATTTATTCCAAGAAGCGGAGGAAAAATGGAAAATACCAGAGGAAATTAATCAAAATGGAAGAAATTGAACAAAATTGAAAAAACTGAAAATGACATACATTTGTTTAGCTATAAGTATTTTAAGAATAGCTTAAACAAATTAAAATTTATATCATGCAAGAATGTTTAGTTTTTCACTTTTATTTATTTTTTTCTGTTTAAAACTAATAAAATCACGTTTTTTCAGTTTTATACAGAATATTAATATCTACAACATTTATTACTGTATTTTTTATGGTATGATTGTAAAATGTGTTTTTGTTTCTTTATTTTTTCAGTATAATAATAAAATCTATTTTTTTTATATTTTATTTATTTTTATTTTTTTAGAAAATGTAAGTAAGCAATTTTCAAACTAAGTTTTTAATGATTTTTTTTTCTAAGTTATTTTGGATTACTTTATTTTTAGCAGTGTTATGAAAATAAAGATATATTTTTTAAACTTTGAAAATTGATCTTTGTATACTATAAAAAGCTTAACTGTAATTCAACATTACAATGCTAATAGATTTCTCCACCTATTGAAACTGCTAAAATCATTTTCTTTAATAATGCTCAGCAATATTATAGAAAAGTATTTTTATTTTATTTTTAAGTTATGCTTGTTGTAGTTAATATATATTTTTTTTTAACTGATGTCTACTTAATTTTCAAAATTTTATCAAACGTTTCATGCTTATAAACTTAAAATTTCAGCAATACCTATATCGTTTTCTAGTTATTATGCACGCAACTTATCTATTTAAATATTTAAATTCAGAGAAAATTTTGTAATTTGTTTATTATATTTATTTATCTATAGATTCTAAGAGTATACATGTCAAATGTAATAACATATTTTTCCTATTTTATACTTGCTATATGCATTCATTTTACTACTCAGATGTGATCAAATGACTACTACAAGCAATTTTTTAAAAATAGTTTTACTACATTTCTGTTTTACTTTTACAGCTTTTACAAAGGCAGCTAGAATGTATCAATGTCCTCATTGTCCTTATTCAACTGTTTGGAACACATGTCATAGCATGCATGTGATGACTCACAATCGAGAAACACCATTTCAATGCGCTATTTGTTATAAATGTTTTAACCGGAAGGCTACATTGCAAACTCATCTGATTGTTCATTATAAAAATTATCCCATATGATATGTGTTGATTAAAAAAATAATTTGTTAAGCAAATTTATTATTTTTCTTACGTATCTAAATGTGTAAAGTGTCTAAATTTGAAAGGCATATTTTGAAATGTCTAAATTTGAAAGGCATATTTTGAAAACACAATGAATGTCTTTAATGGAAAAAATAAAAACTTATAAATTTTTAATACAGAGTCATTCATGAGATTCTTGCTGTCCTGATAAATCACAGTACGCTGCCATATATATAAATCAGTGTGCATAGCATTTTTAAAAAGTGCTTAAACGTGCTTATTTTCGATTTTTGTTTTTTAAAAGCCCTTAAGGGTGCTTTTTTCATTGGATGTTTTAAAAAGTGCTTAATTTTCCCGTTTCCAAAACAAGATATTTTTTCTTTAGCATGTCAATTTTTGCCATGAATCATGAAAAAAAAAGTGTTTTTTTTTTACATTTTTCTATTCAGTGTTTTCACAATGCATTCAACCACAATCTATTTCGGTGTACTGTTGGTCCTCAGCGTACAAAAATGCCTGTCCTTTTACATGTTTGATGAAATACTTGCAGTTTAGCATGTGAGTATACTGAGATGGATTCGGCTGGAAGGGAAGGACTCTTGTACTCTCATGTGCAACTCTGCTGCATTTTGCAAGAAATTCTCATTTTCCACCCTCTGGAATCAAACCGAAAAATTTCTGGAATTTTTGCTGATAACCAACTAAATAAACATTGCCAGAAATTTATTTTCCTTAATAGCAAATATTTCTCTTGTTAATTTCATCGTTCGTGAAGTGCCACTGGCAAGCTAATGGTCTTCTCGCTCTTTTCTGTTTACAGATCAGTACCTTAGTCCTTAAACTAGACTTTGGGTTTATTTTACGTATTTTCATGTGGGTTCCTAGAGCAGTAAAGAATCATCAAGCTGCATTTCCTCAAAGTTAATTTAATAAAGATAAAAATTAATTGAGATTTTAAATCGTAAAATTTTTTTACTTGAGGGATTAAAAAGCCTGAAAATAAAAAATAAAAAAATTTTATTACTGTTTCAATTTTAAATTTCATTTAATTTGGTAGTATGAAAAGTCATGAATTTTTAGCGTTAAATAAATAATAAATAAGAGTAAGAAATTTAAAGTTATGTAATTGTTTTTAAAAAAATGGAATGTAGATAAAAAGCTGTCGGAAGTTCCGAAAAAAGTTTTGAAGAGCTGTCAGAAGCGAGAATATTTAAATCAGGTGGAAAGTAAAAGAACCAAGCTCTGTTCGTTTACATTACGATTTCTCCCCTCCCCAGCCACACCCAATGTGCAGTAGACCGAAGACAGGAAAAATATGATCAAGCCGAAGGTCAAAATACTGAAACTACTTTCAGTTTAAATATAATGGATATCTAAAGGTTATTTAAAAATGTTCCAGCTGAAAATGCATATCCGCATTGCCTGTTCAATAGGCTAGTTCTCCAACAATGCATAGGTGAACCACCTGGCCCTGAGATAAGTTACTTCGAAATACATCTATTATTCGCCCGTCCCAAAGAGGTTAAAAAGAGAGAAAAAGAAATACTTCAATTTTCAGTCCAAAATTCATTTTTTTAAAAACTATTTTTACATATAACTTTTTTTAATTATTTTTTTTTGCTTTACATTTAATTATTTTTTTTTGCTTTTTTTTGCTTGTAAATGCTATAACAATAATTGTCCACATTACTATGTATATTTTTATTAGTATAGATATATTTTGTTTCATTTTTAAGGTGTTTATGCATAATGAAAAATGTTGATATTTTACTGATAAATTTTTTTTTTTTAATTTTTGTTTAAAAAATTTTTTTGTTGCATTAAAAAAATGGTAACTTTTTTTCTTCAATTTTTTAAGTTTTAGTAAATAACCACAAGACATTAAATATAATTTTTCTTTTTGCAATACAGGTATTCGTATAGTTGTCTCGCTTGAAATTTAAATTTGCTGTATATTTTTAATTGATCTACTCCTAAAATATTTTTTTGAACCATGGATCAAAATGAATAACACACTAATAACTTTGAGATCTGACGATCGAATTTTCAGGTACTTCGATGCAATTTTTGTGGTTCAAGTAAACAAACTTAAATGTATACTAATTAAATATTTCAAACAGTATTTTAAATTATGAAATCAGACACAAAAATGTATTTTCTATGTCTTTTTTTTCCTACTGTTTTTTATTCTTTTTCTTTAATGGCTACAATCTGAGAAATATGGTTCTAATATTTTTGCCAGGACAATGGTCAAATACTTCAACCTTATGACATTAACTTCAGTTTTTGCATATTTTGCCATCTCAAATTATAGTATTTTAAAATTTTTATTTCTGAAGGACTAATTTACCAATTCCCTTCAAATTTGCGATTTTAAAACTTAAAATTATGTGGCTTAGAGTAGTGTAAATATTTATATACACCACAGTTCAAATTTTTTTTTTGTATCATACAAATTAAAATTGTAAGAAATAATAAATAACTCTAAAAAATAATCTTTTATGTGGAATTATTTTTGGTTTTATAAGTGTATCTAAATTTTTTTCCTTCCTTAATTTGCATCGTTAGTTCTGGAGATTTGGCAAAACACGTCAGAAATGAAATTACAATTAAAGAGCTAAAAATTTTGGCCACTTTTCTGTCTAAATTATTGGGTTTATGTTTTTCAGATTAAAACTACCCCTCGCATTTTCATTTTAATTTCATTTTTGTCTAATGTTGTTTATTGGAATATTGTCTTCTGAAATTGATGAGCATATTTGAGGTGAGGTTCACAAACCGATACGTTTTAGTTCTAGTTCATGGAAATCTAATCTTTAGATCAATTTTTTTTTTTTTTTTTTTTTTTTNTTTTTTTTTTTTTTTTTTTTTTTTTTTTTTTGCACTTTATAAAATTATTTCTTGCTCAGCTGCTAATCATCTATGTTGCTGTTAGGCTATTTAGAATCTGCTTATTTTTTGAATAGACTAAAAAAAATTGAAATGAAAGCAGCTTACACTATTTTTATTATTTCCTATTATGTGTTATTGTAAATCCCTAAAATTCCCTAAGTGTTGAACATTTATAAATTATGCAATATTGTTTTCTAATTTTTTTGTTATTTTTTGAAAAAACTTTCGCAATAAGCAAATAACCTTTAAGAGAGCATAAGCAACTCTGATATATGTTTATAATTTTCTACATTTTTTTCCCTTAATGGATTTTAAAAAATTCCTAAAATTTAAATCCCTAAAATATTTATAAATTCTGCAATATTTTTCTTACATTTTCTGTTTCATAAATTTATTTGATTTTTTTTCTCTCTTTTATATTGGCACTATGTATTAAGTTTTTAGTTTTAAATTGTTTCAATTAAAGATTCTTTTAATTTTTTCAGAATTTTTTAGGAAAAATAAAGTACATCAGTGCATTTATTGCCGCTACACAACTGTGAACAAGACAGACTTAACAAGACACATCAGAATTCATACTGGGGAAAAACCTTTTCAATGTGGCAAGTGTAACAAACGCTTCAGTAGAAAGACTTCCTTAAAATCTCATATGATTACTCACTATAAGCAACATCTCGTTTAAATTTTGTCCTTCAAAATGTTTGTTATGTGTCTCAATAACTTGTTATGTTTCAATAACTCATTTTACTTGTTATGGGTGCTTGAAAAAATTTTGTTCAAATTTCCAAGATGTGTAGAATGAAAAAAAAAAGATTACCTTAATTAGTAAACTTTTTCATCTGATGATCAAATTTTCATTTACTGATACTCAATCGTAATGGTTCAAGGACTTAACCCTGAATATGCCAATTAATTTGAGCTGACAATATTTTAAGTAATGAAATCAGACACAAATACATGTTTTCACTGAATGAAACATGGATTTTTACAACAGATTCAAATTCTTAACCCTCAAAATATAGGGACAGCTATAATCTGGAAATTATGGTTTGATCAAGAAAGAGGAGGGTCGAAATTTTGACCTATGGTGATTTCCTTTTTTCTCATTTTTCGTCTTTTTGTAAAAAAATTTTTGAGCATGACTATTAAACTTGCTTACCTTAAGATAATTCAATGAAAAAAATAACTATTTATAATATTACCTATTAGTTTTAATAATCAGCTAAAAAATGTTAAATTTTAAGGTATACAAATTTTTATACTATTTTAGCTTTCAATGGCAAATTTTAAATTTGTCGAAATTCTGTCCTTAAATAAGAGGTATGTCTTCTTTGAGGTGGTGAATAATGCAAAAAGAGAAATAATCATTAAAGGGTCCAACTATTTGATCTCACTCTTGACCAAACTATTTGAACTTGATTACCAGATTGTTGCTACTATCAAGATTCTGAATCTGTTGAAGAGATGTATATTTATTCTAAGAAAGAGTGTTTTGACTTTGTAAGTTCAAAATTGTATGCCAATTTAATAAGCATATTTAAGGTAGGCCATGAAGCTGTTAAGATTGAGTCCTAGTTTTTTGGTTCTTGCTTTTTTTTTTTTCCATTTATTTTAAGAACACTGTAAATTTGTAGCACTTTTTGTGATTGCTTTTGTTATTAAATTAGTTGTGACTTACTTCATTTTTGAAGAAACTAAAGCTAAATCAAAATATTAGAATAAAAACATAATTTTTGTGCTGAAAGTTTGACCCTCCACTTGTTACGGCCCTGAGGAAAATTCGCCTCAATCATCCTGTGAGAACCGTTGAATTGAAGAACCTCAATGAATTGAATCATGAAGGTCAGCCTCATTGAAGTAAGAAAAATTCTATGACTTAGGCAGGATAGCTGTGCTAGCAATATTCCAATTTTGAAGGGGAAAATTAAAAATACTATAACCCGTTTCATTGCCAAAGAAAACTGAAAGGTTAAAGCCAAAAATTAGAAACACTAGTGTTATCAGGCAATTAAACTGATCTTGGTATTTTAATCCTAGTTTTCTATTACTGATTTTTATTACAGTTTTTTTTCTGATTCAATTATTATTTTGGTACCTGTAGTGTGTATATTTTTTTACTTTACTTTTGAGAAATGCTGTAAAAATGATTTTTAAGGGCAGTCATTATGGCACACACTGTATTTCTATTTGGTAACTAATTATGTTAAAGGATTAATTTAAGGAATAAAATTGATTGTAAGTTTTAAATAATTTTTAATTCTTATTACGCCTTGTTTAAAAAAATTATTTTATTTCTTTATTTTTATTTATCTATAATACAATTTAAGACACAAATACAAAAGCAATAAAAACCGAAAAAAAAGTATTAGCTATAAAATAGATCTTCTGCTTCCCTGATACTTTTAGTTTTCTTATGAGGTAATAACTAATTTTATTTCATCTTAAAATATTTTTTTCATATCTATGAACTTTGTTTGAGAAGAGGAATGTGACAAACTTGGCAACAAATCATTAAAGATTTAATTCATCGAATAATTTACTTTATAATATGCTTGAAAATTTTTTAAAAAAAAAAGTGACAGAAATTGTTTTTTTATTAGTTCAGTGTTTAAGTTACTTTAAAAGCTAGGTTAATTCTACGTTTTTAAACGATTGCTTACCATATGATTGTCATACTAAAAAAATTTATTACCACATTATAATTTTGTTTAAAATGTATCTTTTTGCACATATTTAGTAATAAACATGTTTTTTGACTTGAAGATTTCCTTATCTGATTGGTATTTTCTCTTCTTAATTAAGTCTTTTTTATTTATCTTTGTTTGTAATAACTATTTTAAAGCCGTATCTTTATGTTTTTGGAACATTGGAATGATATAATACTAGTTATTTTTTACTTGTATGTCCAAAATATCCCTTGCAATTTGAACACCCTAACAATAGTTTTTGTTGTTTATCCTTAGCCATAAAATTGGGGGGGGGGACAATTTTATTGTTTTAATGTAACTATCTTGACATTAGTATTTTAATATGAAGCATAACTCGTTTTAAAATGAAGTATTCTGTAACAATTAATTAGTTGCCTGAATATTTCATCTCTGAAAAAATCATTATTTATGGTAGAAATTGATCACAGATAAGAAAAGAACCAGTTTGTGTTTGGTATTGGATTAATGTAGTTAGAATATCTGTATTTATCTCTGACAGTAATTACCACTGGTGTAATATGAAGATAATAAATGCCAATAAAAGTTATTTTACAGTTTTTAAAAATCAGATAATTTTTCTTCTTTTTATTTCAGAAATAAAATGATGAATTGTTTTCTTATGTTGAATATTTAAGATAAATTGTTTTCTTCTAAATCTTAAAAATTTCACCTAAAATCAATGTTTTGTTCTAGATGTTTTTATATTTTTACTTTAATTACTTTTGTTTTGCAATATATTGTATGTTTTCTGTGAATCTCAAAAAGAATGAATTGCTTATCTATGTTGTTGGATTTGTAAAAATATTTGTAATTCTGATTTCTTGTGACAAAAAATCATTTTTCAACCTTTCTATGCTACTAACCATATTGTGTTTTCTTGATTGTAGTTATTGTGTGCAAAATACTCTTACGTTTATCAAAATTATTTTTTTCATCAGTTTTTTTTTTTGTGTTTTATGTTTTTGTAAGTATTTTAAACAATATACTGTAACCATGTTTGTTGAAATTTTTTATTTTAATTTTGCAGTCTTAAGGAAAATTCATCACTGTCCTTATTGCAACTACTCTTCTATTCGAACAACAGATATATACAGGCATGTCAGAGTTCATACTGGGGAAAAACCTTTTCAATGTTCCATGTGTAGCAAGTGTTTTTCCCTAAAATCTTCTTTGAAAAAACATAGAATTACTCATTTACCAAAACCTCATGTTGTGTAACCATTCAAATTTTAATTATTTCAAGGATGGCATCTTTTATTCGTAGTTGAAAGTAATTGTAACATATTGGTATAATTAAATACTTTTTTTTAAAAAATTCTCTGTGTTATGTATTTTAGGAGTAGATTATTACAAGATTATTTTGTACTTGATTGTGATATATTTTTTTGTTTTGTTTTTCTGAGATATGTCTGTTAGGGTTCATATTTTACTTATTTAATCTTTTATTTTAATTGAAAAACACGTAAGTGGGGTTGCTATTTTTCTAGGTAATTATGTATTCCATTTTTCTAAGGCATTTTTGCAATCCAGTTTATTTTTTCCCTCTTTCTTTTCTACTGTTTTTTTTTTTTTTTTTTTTTTTTTTTTTTTTTTTTACTTAATTTATAACAGAGCCTTGGAGTTGGTAGTTGAAATGTACAACTTTTCATAGAGCCTGACTGCTACTGAAAAATTTATTATTGTATGCACAGACTCCTGAGCTTTACCAACTTTTTATAATTATAAATATTTTAGTATATCGTTCCCATAATTATACATCTTTGTTTAAATTTTTTATAAGATCAGAGTCTTCTTTTCTTAACTTCTTTAACTTGATCTAACTTTTTACTAATATTGAATTGACTCCCTTAGTAGCTATCAATTTTATTTCTTTATGTTTTGTATCCTAGTATAATTTTTGTGCCAAGAAATTATTCTGTATTTATTACAAGTTTTCTGTAATAGTTACTATTTAAATTATAATGTGATCATATTTTAAAATTTACATCTTTAGTTACTAGCATTAATTTGTAACCAAATATGCATTTTGATATAAATTTAATACTTGCCATAAAAAATTTTTAAAAATTTTTCGAATATGTTATTATCTTTGTTTGAAAATTTATTTATTAATTCTTATAAAATATTGAAGAGTGTTTCCTGTTTATAGTGATGCATTCTGTTAATAAATTTATTCTAAGCAATTTTACATAATAGAATTTTTTTGATTACATCAGTATTTTATGTAGTTTTTATATGCATTAAAATTCTAACTAATCCTTTTTGTTGAACTTTTTTATTTTAATTTTTCAGCAATATTTGTGAAACGTAAAATTCATCATTGTCCATATTGCAACTACTCATCTTTTCGTACTACAGATATTTACAGACATGTCAGAACTCACACTGGGGAAAAACCCTTTCAGTGTTCTGAGTGTAAAAAGTGTTTCCCCCGAAAGTCTACTTTAAAAAATCATATGTTTACTCATTTGAAAAATTACCATACATGATCATTTATAGTTTATGTCAATGTTTGTTACTTTAAATGATTCTAATAATTTGTAACTGGCATTTTAAGGGCTATTCAAATACTACTTAAGCATATTTTTGGTGATTTCAGAATCAGCAAATAATAAGCAAATTACTAATTACTAGCTTACATCTCATTTACTTTCGTAAGCATTGTTTTTAAAAATTATTTTTTTTTCCAAATAAATTTATAGTTATTTTTGGAGTTTAGGTGGCATTCTTTTTAGATAAAGAGAATGATTTAAGTAGATTATGACATTGCTCTTAATCCTGCTTGTTAAGATGTTAAATTTAAATACCTAAGAATAAGGACATTTTCAACTTGCTTCTTGCTGTCAGATGCTTACATAATATCTGAATATCTCTTTAAAAATGTGAACACATCTGAAATCCTGAATAAAAATCTTTTAAGATATTTGTGTAAGAACATCTTATTATTCTAGTACTAGCAAAATACCTATTCATCATGCAGACTGAAAAAAAAATTAAACGATCTATAAATCAGTATTATAATGAAGACTACAAAATCGTTCACAAAACTGAAAGACATATAATAACACAATTAATTAAGCTAAAACAATTCCAATATTTTTATTTTTAGTATTTATTGTCTGTCCTGTTGGCTTTATGTTATCAGATTAAACAAAACATGTTTTTCGAAGATCATCCCTTCAAAATAAGGATACATTACATTCAGTATCATTTGATATAATACTAACTGTTGCTTGATGTTAACTCCTAAAAGGCAAAAGTTACTATTATCAATTTTCTCCTGTACATATTATATTTGAGAGACCATAAAAATATATTTCCACAGAGAAATCTTGATATCAGTATTAGTATTTAATAAAAAAAATCTCCAATTATCATTATAGCAGAAGTACATATTACTTAAATTTACTAATCATCATTGGCATTAATATTTAAGTGATTTTTTAAGGTTTTTCTCAATGAAGAAGTACCTTTTCTTTATTAATTTAAGTGCAAAACTTTTTATTAATTGAGTTTGTACCTATTTCATAGTTAGTTAATTGATATTCTCCGAAAAAAATTAGTAACAACGCTAATATTTTCGTAATAATTTTTAGCAAAAAAAATAATCTGGGAACTTATTTCCAAGGCCGAAAAAAAAATCGTCAAACTATTATTGACACCAGTAATGCTTAATTAAATGTGGTATTAAATGCTTTTGATATTGCTATTTTAAGTACTGTGGTAATGACAACCTATTACTAAAATTTATTGATTGTAATTCATGAAAATAATTAGTAACAACACTATTATTCTGATAACCACTTTTGGCAAAAAAAATTTATGGTATTTAATGGTTATAATTTGGTATTTATTTCAAGGGCCGTAAAAATCACCAAACTATTATTGATGCCAGTTATGCTCAATTAAATGTGGTATTAAATACTTTGGATGTTGGGTGCATAACATAGGCATTGTGGTAATAGATTTTTTACTGCCCTTCAAAATTGATAAGTACCCTAATATCACGATACTACATATTCGTGGTACCTAATACACAAATTTTTGTGTTTTTTAAATTATTTGTTGTATGTTTCAGTGCAGCTTCATACCATTATGTTTACCATAATCTGAGTTAGAAGTTCAACTCATTAAAAGACAAATTATCTGAACAAATAGTATAATTTAAAATGTGATAGTCAGAATTTACTATTATTTTCCTTCAATTAATAGATAACTTAAATTTTATTTCCTTAATTCTTTTGAGTTTCCAATTGTTAGGTCTAAGCTCATTATAGGCAAAATTATTAACATTGACTTTACTTGTGGTAACCTGACATGGTAAACTTAACATACCATACCATAGGAAAAATTTTTGATTGATTAGAGCTGCAAGCTAGTAATTCACTTATATTATAAATTCTTTATCAATACCTTTTTTTATATATATAACAGTGGTTGAACAGCCGACCCAAATTTGAGTTTACTGCTACCAATCAACTCTGTGGCATTGTAGTTTTGAGCTTAATCCAAAAGACAAGGGAACTCCTGGGTTAAGGATAAGGAAAAATTTGCCTTCATGGAGGACTTTTTTGATGGAACTAACCTGCATTATGTGGAGAGAAAAACCACAAAAATTTCCCACAGTTAGCCGGACGGCAATGGGACTGTAACCCACTATCCGTCTACCACTGAGGATATTTTACGATTGGTCTGAGCCAGGTTTGGAATTCAAATCGATCAACCATCGCTGGAATTTGAACCTGGTTCATCTCATTTGAAGGCGAACGCTCTATTCCCTCAGCTACCACGGCCCTTATCAATACTTTTTTTTAAATAGCCTTTGTGGAGCAGCTGACCCAATTTTGGGTTTACGATTACTAATGTTGAACTCCGTTGCCTTGTAATTTTGAACCCTATCCAGAAGAAAAGTAAACTCCTGGATCAGTTCCCCCAGAAGTATGATTTGTTTTGGGAACATGGTGGACTTTGTGACTTGACAGATTTAACGTGCATCAGTCACCATTTATCACACGGGGAGTCTTTGGTCGGCGAGGATCGAACCCATGATCTCTTGGACATGGGTCCAGTGCCCTACCAACCAGGCTACCCTGGCCTTTATTAATACATTTAGAAAAATTTCTCTTAGGGATGTAGCTTGCCGATCGGTGATTACAGGGAGTTGAGACAATTAGATCCACCATGTCTTTTAACATGCTTATTTGAAATTTGGTGCAGATTGGTTCACCATTTCAGATTAGCATAAAGTATATACATATAAATACTCTCCTTTATTTAAATAGATTTTCTGATACAAAACGCTAAATTTATGTATGTTCAGTTTGCAATCTTCCATTTTTAGGGTGGGAGGGAGATAAATCATAGAATCTTTTTTTTTTAAGCGTTTATACATATAACTCATTTGCTTTTAACAAATTACACTTATTTGTTTATATGAAATAGTGCCATTATTTATTAGGCAAATTTCGTTATGTAGCTTTTTATACTGGCTTATTCAAAGGGGCTGATACCTCATCTTCTACACTCAATGAATAATTGTCTTTATCTGTATAATTTTAGTCATTACATGCATTTAGATTTTTTTTTAAAAACTCCAACAAGCATTAATTGTGCTTATTAATTTGTTTTTTATTCGCAAATATTCTAATAAAATTGGCATTTGATGATTTGTATTCATTTAGGTAATGTTCACACTTATTTTTTTTCAAATTCGAATAATAATTGATTATTTTATTGCAGTTCTGTTAGTTTTGCTCTTATATGTTTATCGAATTTTTATGAAATTAAATTATTATGCAAATGTACTTAAGCCAAAACATTGTTTTATCTAAAAAGTTCTAAGTTTTGTTTTCTAAGTTTCCACATAGTTTACATAGTTTGTTAGAATTTCCTTCATAAAAATATGCTAATTATACTTGGCTAAAATATCTAGAAAAGTTCAAAATGTTATTTTTATATTTTAAAAATTATAAGTTACATTTTTCCTGTCGCAAAATTATTTTGTTTCATGTAAGTATTTTTGTAATGTATTGCTGAAACTTTAGCAAGACTAGCTCTCCCAGTTGTATGTTGCTATTTAACATAAAAAATAAAAAAGAATTATTTTGAAAAAAGTTAGAAGAGAAAGAAGAAGTTGGAAAAGTATTTTTTGTTCTTAACTTTCACTAGCAAATAGTAAAAAAACAACCTTTTTCTTCAGCCCATGAATTAAGTTGATTTGAGAGAGTGGAGAAAAAAATCATCAAACATATTTTTCTAAAATATTTCTTTAAAAAATTTTGTCTAGATTTTAATTCCTTTGTATTTGATTATTTAAAATGTTTTTCCTGATTTATTATGATTTTTATTTTAAATTTACAGATTTTTTTTCGATCATTAATATTTTAAAATTTATTTATGATTCGCTTATTTGTAAATCTGTGCATGCAGATAGATTTGTTTTATTATTCTTTCTTAGTTGATTTATAACTTATTGTGTTTTACTTTAGTGCTGTACTATTTGTTATTGTTTGCTACTTTTTCCTGATAAATTTTGTTTATAATTCCAAAGAAAACGGCGTGGAGATACGTGAAAGCACTTGCTCTAAACACTTAACACTCTGTCTTTTTCTTTTAGTGTGATTTATTATCTTCATATTGTTTTTATAAGCTTCTTAAAAAAAGATTCTTATTTTAAGTGATTGGTAAGAATGATGGGGGTGGTCTCCTGTACAAATATCTTTTGATAATCAGCTAGTAATTTATGAAAGTGAAATTTTTTTAAAATTTCCACATTAATAAATGAACAATTTTATAAAACCGACCAATCTTAATTTTTTTCTTTATTAATATGTGTTTCACTGTAGAAAAACAAAGTTATTAGCAGGAACAATTAATTCATTTTTTAAACAACTCAGTACCTTTATATAAGTTATAAAATAAGTTTTATTTAAATTTTTCAGCTTTCTCCAAGAAAGGTGGAATTCATCAGTGTCCTTATTGCAGTTATTCAAGTATTTTTAAGTATGATATAAAAAGACATATGAGAATCCACACGGGGGAAAAACCATTTCAGTGTAAATTTTGCAGCTATTCAAGTAGTTGGAAGAATGATTTAAACAGGCATATGAAAACTCATACTGGCGAAAAAAACTTTGAATGCAACACTTGCAACAAATGCTTTGCTACAAAATCGGCATTGAAAAGTCATACCATTATTCATTTCAAGCACTTAATGTGAAAAGTCTTACCATTATTAATTGCAAGCACTGTAACTTGTGTCAATTATACATCTTATTAAAATCGAATGTCCTTTAGTTACTTGTTATTCTGTTATGATTTGTAATTTTATTTCAAAAGCCATTCTTGAGTCACAAAAAATATTTATTCTTGGTTAGTATGCTAAATAAAGGTTATATTTGTGTAAATGCATATTTTTGATTCATTTATTTGCAATTCTGTGCGTGCAGATAAATTTTTATTATTATTTTTTCTTGGTAGATATATATAACTTATTGTGTTATACTTTACTACTATACTATTGTTATTGTTTGCTGTTTTTTCTTGATAAAGCGTTTGCTTAAAATTCCAAAGAAAACGGCATTGAGATATATGAAAGCACTTAATCTAAACACTAACACTATGTTTTTTTCCCTTCTTTCTGTTAGTGTGATTTATTATCCTCGTATTTTTTTTATAAGCTTCTTAAAAAAAAGATTCTTATTTTAAGTGATTGGTAAGAATAATGGAGGTGGTTTCCCGTACAAATATCTTTTGATAATCAGCTAGTAATTTATGAAAGTGAATTTTTTTTTAAAATTTCCGCATTAATAAATTAACACTTTTTAAAAACCAACTAATCTTATCTTAATTTTTTTTTATTTAAGTTATAAAATAAGTCTTATTTAAATTTTTCAGCTTCCTCCAAGAAAGGTGAAATTCATC